GGTTGAGAGATGGAGACTGGGATTTCTGGTTGAGGATATGGGTGATACTCCATTAGGAGTGTTCCCAACTTTAATGTCCTTAATAGTTATAATAACATATATATATATATGGTCATGGTCATATATTAGTTTGTGGTTTAATGTCATTTAGGTAAGGGTTAGGGTTAGGGTTAGGATTATCAATCATTAATCATTAAACATTAATCATTAATCATTAATGATATCAAAGTTGGGAACACTTTTAATGGAGCGTTAGCCGATGATATAGGATTAGTGTGGCTGGGTATGGGGTATGACGTGTGGAGACAAGCGCAGCATGGAGGCTGCAAGCGGGATTGGTGAGGCAGTTAAACCGGATACGTCTGTGGTTGAGAAGGCAGTGATAATATTAGGGAGTACGTGCTCAACGGGGCAGTCGGTGGATGGGTACAAATGAGTGTAGCCGAGAGAGATGCGTATGGCAATAAGGAAAGGTAGTGGAAGAAAATCCGAGCAATTACATAATAAATATAAAGAATCACACAATCGTCTGCCATATACACCCACATCACACAATCGTCTGCCATATACACCCACATCACACAATCGTCTGCCATATACACCCACATCACACAATTGCCTGCCATACAGGCAGACGATTGTGTGATGTGGGTGTATATGGCAGACGATTGTGTGATGTGGGTGATATACACCCACATCACACAATCGTCTGCCTTATACACCCACATCACACAATCGTCTGCCATATACACCCACATCACACAATCGTCTGCCATATACACCCACATCACACAATCGTCTGCCATATACACCCACATCACACAATCGTCTGCCATATACACCCCCATCACACAATTGCCTGCCATACACACCCACGTCACACAATCGTCTGCCATACACACCCACGTCACACATCGTCTGTCATATACACCCACGTCACACATCGTCTGCCATACACACCCACGTCACACAATCGTCTGCCATACGATTGTGTGACGTAGGTGTGTATGGCAGACGATTGTGTGACGTAGGTGTGTATGGCAGACGATTGTGTGACGTGGGTGTGTATGGCAGACGATTGTGTGACGTAGGTGTGTATGGCAGACGATTGTGTGACGTAGGTGTGTCTGCCATACACACCTGTGGTGTTGCTTGTGTGTGTGTGTTGTGTGTGTGTGTGTGTGTGTGTGTCGTATGTGGTGTGTGCTGTGTGTGTGTGTGTGCATTGTGAATGGTGCGTGCGTGCCGTGCGTGCGTGCAAAATCGTGCGTGTGTATCTGTTTTTATTTTATTCGGTGTATGTCGTACGTGAATGCACACATATAAGCACATATACATAATATCAGCATTTTCGACAATATATTTTATCGTATATTTACTAAAGCTATTACGACACCGTGATATGACCTTTCATCGTGACCTGTTACATTGAAATAAAAATATACTAACTATTTCATAAATAACTGCTAATATAGTTTATAGACTAAGGTATAATCTTCAATATTTATAAAAATTAATTACGCGTATTTCCTTTAAGTGAATGACGTATCTATAATACGATATTATATTCGAATTTCCGAATTGAGCAGATAATGTTATTCCACGTCCCAGCCCCCTGCGGGCCCCCCCGTCCCCCCCCCCCCTGCTTTCACAGCGGGTTCAATAAACTTGATAATAAATCTGTCAATGGATTCAATAAACATTGGCGGAAAACCGCGAGGATGTCATACACACACCCACCCACCCACACACACGACCACACACACACACACACACACACACACACACATCACACACACACACACACACGTACACACACACGCACACACACACATATCACCCCTACACACACATACACACACATACACACACGCGTTTAATATAATTATTTATATATATAATATGTATGCGTTTATATATATATGTATATATATATATATATAAACACAAAGATTTAATGAGCAGCACATAACGCGTTTCACAGGGCGCCATGTTTGTGTCCGCGATGTAATGTAAATTATTAGCGACGAGTTGTCAAATATATAATAAAATATTCATGAGAATAAAAGCGTCTAAACTCTCGTAACATATCCACAACACTAATACTGAACAAAACACCATGCTCGCTGTTTCCATGCACACTGTTGCCACGTGTAGCGTCAGCGCTTTCTACAACGCGACAGCATAGTTACAAATATAATAATTGCGCCACTTCGTATATCACACATTTAATCACGGCAAAGCGTCCAGCATGACGAGCGTTCGCCCTGGATACACTCGCGCGTCCGCAAGCGACAAATGTCTAGCGTTGAATCCATCCTCAATGTGAGATTGACGGATTGCTCTAACCAAACACGCATTGAATGGCAACGTGAAGGTTTTAACAAACACCTCTAAAGCGTAGCGCGATTTGAAAACTGCCCTGCAGAATTCCCAGACCCTAGTTCTCTACAAGATCCTCGCTGTTTGGATTAGAGGGACAGGGAGACGAGCCGTTTCGTCCAACGACTTCTTTTCGATTTTTTCAGCGTTGCGAAACGTTGTTATTAGTTTATGACGAAATTTGAGCTTTCATGGCCCCACGGCTCCGGCAGGAATCCGAGCCTGTGAACCGAAAAATATACGTGACGAGACGATTGCTGTTGACGTGGGTGTGATGGCAGGCCATTCTGTGACGTGGGTGTATATTGGCCGACCGCACTCTGCTCGCGCGCGACGTAGGTGTGTATGGCAAACGAATGCTGTGACTGTGAGGTGTGTATGGCAGGCAATTCTCTGTGACGTGCGGCTGTATATGCCTATATGGCAGACTGTGATTGTAAAAAAATCACAGAAGACACACGAGGAGAAGGCGACGGAGAGAGGAAAAAGAGAGAAAGCGGGAGAAAGGCAGGATACGAGAGAGAGAGGCGAGCAGGAGGGAGGAGCAAAGAGAAGAATATAAGAAGAGGAGAGAAGGCGGAAAGAGAGGCGATGGAAAACAACAAGAGAGAGCGAGGAAAGATGGAGGATGACGATGAAGAATGAGGAGAAAAGAGGGAGAGAAAGGAGAGAACGTGGATTTGACGTTAGGGTGTCTTGGGCAGAGCGGAAGTTGGTATAGATACGTGGAAAGAAGAGGGAGGAGGAGAAGAGAGGAGGTAGAGAGA